CGAAGACGACGCCATTTATATCGTAGATATATGAATGTGGATGCAGAGGCGTGTATAGACCACTTGCATGAGGATGCGCACAAGGCGGTGGACAATATGACGACACCTGTTCGCCAACCATTGCCGGCAGTATCAGATGAAATTGAGCGAGATTTACTGGGATTGGCGCTCCAGGTACCAACAATCCAGCAAATTCGGACAGCTAGGAGACGTTTGCAAACACATCGAAGGCTTCACTTCTGCTCGGATGGGTCAGTGATTCACAACGGCACAGAGCAGGTCAGTGCAGCATTCGGAGTTGTCGTTTCTGTGGATGGTGGTCCCTACACAACGGCGTTCAGTGGACGGGTCGGGGGATACGCGTCGTCAACAATTGCAGAGATGTGTGGGCTCTTGGCAACAATTCTTATCAGCCCAAGGGAAGAGAACGTCGACATCTACATCGACAATCTCACAGTCGTCAACAATTTCAAGGAGTTGGTGCAGCAGCGGGATTCAGCAACAGCAAGGCAGCGTTTGAGATCTGCAGATGCACAGTGGTGGGCGATGGTGCATTATGCCTTCTTGCAACAAGGACAAGGTATATCTGTGCATTGGGTACGAGGACATGCTGGACACCGTGGCAACGAGGCTGCAGACACTGTTGCCAAGGCAGCACATGGGATCGATACAGGACTATGGAGGCTAGACGCAACGCAGCACCATGATTTGAAATGCCACGCACAGTTTGCAACACACAGTGCAGACCTGGACTTGAGGAGGATACTGAAGTTGCAGTCCGCGGTACGGCACCATTATCAGTGGACATTGCAGCATCGAACGAGGACCTACATCAAGGATTGGCGGTCGGTAGCATGGGCGCCCACGCTACGGATCTTACACGATAACAACCCGCCAAAGCGCTTATACACCAGCCTGGAAGACTGTCGTTTACGTTCGCACAGGATCAAGAAGCTGCATGGAGATTTGCCGACATTGCAGGCGATGAAGAAACGACATCCAGATACCTACCAAACGGACATATGTCGTAGGTGTGAGAGGGAACCAGAGACGAACGATCATCTTTGGCGTTGTTCAGCTACCTTGTGCGACCAGCGACAAGAGTGGAGGGACGCGGTGGAGGAAGTGGAGTTGAATGGATATCGTGCATGGAGACAGGCAGTGCGAAAATGGGAACAGGAGAGAGAGGAGGCCGAACGGAAGGACAAGCCCTTCACTGCGACTTGTCCCAACTTCTCGGCAACAGGAACGAAGGCTATCTGGGAGTCAATGCAGTGGATTCAGGGGACGGCGGAAAGGCGAGAGACATATCGGGTTGCGGAAGAAGAGGAGCCGGAGAGTGAGGCAGATTGGGAGGTCAAGGACTTATACCGAGGTTTGGTGCCAACGGGACTCATTGAGACCTGGAAGCAGCTATTTACCACCACCAAGTGGATTGCGACGATCATGGTGACAAAGTTCGTGAGCAGGATCGAAGAATTTGGCAGGACCAAGATATGGAACAAACGATGCGAGGACACTGTCGCCTGGGAAAAGTCAGTTGGAATCACCTTCATGAGCAAACGCGCCGGAGGACGCAACGGTGATCGGGGACACCAACGTAGTGTTGGTGATTTCTCTGATTTGAAAGGGAGACGGTTACTTGCAACGGAGATCCAGGAAGGTAGACGGACCGCGGATTATAGGGTGCTACAGCATTGCTTGGGGCGAGGGAAGTTGGACATAATGGAGGGGTTATTCGGTTTAAAAACAACTTTATTAACATTGGATCTGGATTAGGAGACGTGTATCGCGCAACAGGTCACGCAGGAGTTAGGTTAGGCTAGCTATGCGACATGGGTTATGAATTTGACGCCTCAAGCCAACATAGTTGGTAGGGGATGCGGCTCTGCCGTGCATGGAAGGCATCTATGGCTTCAAGGCCTTTGCGGACCATGCGTCTTGTGCTCATGGGGATTTATGTTAATAAAAAAAAAAAAAAAAAAAAAAAAAAAACTTTGGCATCGGACGAAGAAGTATATCAAACAGTGGGATAAAGTCGTGTGGCGATCCATGTTGGCCATCGTCCACAATAAGAATCCGCCAAATAGACCGTACACGAGTCCGACCGACTGCAGATTGAGAGCACACCGAGTCAAGAAATTGCATGGAATGCTGCCAACGTTGGCGGTCATGAAGAAAAGAAAGCCTGCGCTGTACCCCACAGATACGTGTCGCAGATGTGAGGAGACGACGGAGGACATGGAGCACCTGTGGAAGTGCAACTCAGGACTAGAAATGGAGCAAGAAGGATGGGCGAAAGCCGTTGCGGAGATCAACACGATGGGACAGAGGACGCACACTAGAGCGGTAACAGCATGGAAGAAGAAGATGGAGAAGGAGAAAGAAAACGGAAAAGTGAATATGGGTGGCGGACCGACCTTTTCGAGAGCAAGCACTGCGGAGATATGGGAGACAATGGAGACGATTGGGGGCACATTTAGGCTGATAGGAGAAGAGGACTATGCAGTGGAGGATGATGAGCGCTGGACAGTGCAGGATCTTTACCATGGGTTGGTGCCAAAGTTCATGGTGGAAGAGTGGAAACGACTTTTCAAGACTACGGAAACGATCGCAGCAATTATGGTGGAGAAGTTCGTCGAGGCGATAGAAGACGTTGGGAGGACAAAAGTTTGGAATGTGAGATGTGACACTACTGTCAAATGGGAGAAGAGCGTAGGGATAACCGCGGTGAGCAAACGTATTAAGGGAGGCGCCGGGCGTGGGAACTTTGGTGTAGCAGGCGGCACAGGCAGCAGCGGGATTGCTTCTAGACGATACAAGCGGCAGGAGTTAGCATTGAACACGCATTGGTTATCAAGGATGGCGGACGAGCGGTTGCTGAGTCAGTATCAGGGTCGTTTGAGGTTGGACGTGATGAAGAGAACGGGAGGACTGAAGTTCCTAAAAGTGAAAGGATCAGACTAAAAGTCGTCATGGCGCAACAGGTCGCGTAGCGAGCAAGACACGTGCGGTACTTGCCCATGCGGTCAGCGATTATGAAACCAGGATATCTGTGTCGGTGTAGGCTGGGACGGATGTAGCTATGCTGCTTGTAGGAGACGTTATGAGGTACAGCCTCTGTGGACTACAAATCCCATATCGTTGAGGATCCTAGCTAATAAAAAAAAAAAAAGTGGATCGGCTCTACTTTGGGGCGCCACAAGTAGCCGCGGGGTGTCCCCGCGGGTCCTAGTTAACAAAAAAGCCACAGGTAGCCGCGGTGTTGCCTCTGGACGATCTCAGCGGAAGGAGTTAGCATTGAGCACGCAATAGCTGTCAAGGATGGCGGAGGAACGGTTGCTGAGTCATTATCAGGGTCGTTTGAGGTTGAACATGATGGATAGAACGGGAGGATTGAAGTTCCTAAAACTCGTGCTCATGTGGATTTATGTTAAAAAAAAAAAAAAGACTGAAGTTCCTAAAAGTGCTAAAAGACGCTACGGCGCAACAGATCGCGTAGCGAGCAAGACACGTGCGGCACTTGCCCATGCGGTTGGCGATTATGAAACCAGAATATCTATGTCGGTGTAGGCCGGGATGGATGTAACTATGCTGCACTATATTGACCTATGTAGTACGTACGAGCAGTAGCGCGTAGCGCGTCTATTCGAATAGATGCGCTAAATATAAAGTAAGAGTGCTCTATGCACCGGCAAAAAATGATAGCTGTCAACGGAATATTAGATCATTAATTCGTAGAAAGTGCTAATGGCACCGAAATGGGAAAACCTTTATTGACAAAAGAGACACGGTCCACGGGAGTAACCATACCGGGTTTGGAGTTGAATAAAAAAAAAGGACTGAAATGGATATGTCAATTTTGCAAACCACTTGATCACTTTTGAGGAGCAATGTAAGCTATTTTTTATTTCTTCCTTGAGAAAGGAATTTTAGATGCTGCGATTCACTCTGATTGTGTACGGTGTGCGTATGTGCAAGGAAGGGAGCTGATTTGTTGTATAAAGCAATCACATCAACCTGACTTAGATTTGTCGGTGCTTGCCTTGATAACGCAACCAAAGAACCGTCGAGGCGAAGGGGTAATGTTAGTTGGTTGCGGTCGAAACTCTTCTGGTAACAAATGGTCGGGATCGCGCCGAGGTGGCGTATGGACATACTGACGGACTAGAATATCATCTAGAAGAGTCTGTTGAGAAAGAAACAAAAAAAGTAAGACTACAGAGTTAGTCCCTGAAAACCTTAGGCCCCATGTTGAGTTGGTTGTCATAGAGCATTAAAATTACCCTGAGGGTGTTGAGAAGCTCCATGCAGCGAATCAAGCAGTGGATGTCGTTCTTATCGCGCGGTAGGTATTATACAGTCCTGCCTGAAAACGAAGCTCATAAACAGCGAGTTGATATCCTAGGCGGACAAATGGACAGTACCAACAACCGTTACTACAGAGAACGATACAGTGAGAAAGAATAACTTGATCCAGTTTTGATCTTCTCTTAATTACCAAAGACCTGTAGGCAATAAATCGATGTGATAGTACGCCGCTCGTGCAGGTGCAGATCGATAATATTCTTGGCCAACGACGTCAGTGCCCACTTGTCCTGGATGTAGAGGCGGGTGCTGTTATCGTCCTTGGGAGCCTTGATTTCGGCAAAGGCCACATCAAATTGCTTCTTCATGACGGTACCATCGGGCTTGTTGGCCTCCTTCACCCCCCGTCGCTTCCGAGACCCTGGTGAGGGACGATTGGCCCACCAGAGACGGTACTCGAAATCCGACGCAGGAAAAAAAAATGAAAAAAGAGAGTCGAGTGCGCCGTGCGAGTAAGTGTCCTCATTGTCTGCGATAGAGGGGAGCGCAACAGGCGGAAGCTTCTTGGAACTAAAAAAAAATAATAATAATAATAATAATAAACGTAGGAGTAGCGTTTTACCAGATGCAACGGGGCTAAAATGACCGCTTCGTTAGGCTGGCTTTAAAACGCAAAATAGAAGTACTTACAGACCCTGGAAAAGCTGCAGCAGGTCCTCTTCTTGATCTATCTCCAGAGCTTAAGATCGTACACGACCGGTTGTGGCAAGCTCATACGAGAGGTCCAGGAATAGGCGTGTCTCCTGAGTGGAAAGCCGAATCACTGCTGGCTTGATCTCAGAAAGGATGCTGCGAAGGGCGTCGGTCGGCATTCCTGGTAAACGTTCGGAAGTATCTCAGATTGAGTTTCCTGACCTATCTCCGTAGCATAGATGTGAGTGTTTAGCAAAAGCGCCATATGCTGGTGTACATGTGCTATATATGCAGCGCCATGAAACTCGTCCCGTGAGACTTACAACATCAGGCAGAGCTTCTTGACCGACACCTTGAGGCTCTCATCGTTGATGAATGGGACTGCCTCCTCCTGCAGACGCCTGAAAGCTGCACCAACGTCGAATCTGGCCATAGTGAGCGTGATGCGCCGTACCGAATCAAGATTGAAGTGAGGTTGTGGCGTTGCCGCAAGACCCTGAGCGCCAGCGTCATCCTCAGAGTTGGTTGTTGTCCCTTGAATCCTGCTGATGGTGGTTACGTCTTCATCAATCTCCCAACTTGTTGAAGTCTCGTCTACAGTCCTCACCTGCTTGTTGCTCTCCTTGAAGGATCCACCTAAATCCATACAATCAAAATACCAGTGTAAATCTCCAAAGGATAACATGAAAGTTGGGGCAACGAGCAGTTTGCTAGAGTAAGCAAAAGTACCTTGCTGCATCTTTCGTTTTGGCCGCGCTGAGCACTCTAGCTTGTCCTGACTGTTGCTTTCATTCTCCAACAGCCCTGCAGCCCTCGATGTCTCCTTCAGAATCGCATCCTGCACAATCCTTGCAGTCTTCGCGGCCGTGGTGTCAAAGTTGATCTTTGTCTCACTTCGCTCCATCTTCAGCATGTGATTTGACCAGAATCGCCGCAGACTGTGCTTCCTGAAAATGTTGTACGCTGTATCAACGCTTGTCGGCGCAAGGTTTTGAGCTGTGTGGAATTGATCAGGGCTTCATAAGTGTCTTGCGCATCCTGAAAGTCGAACAGTTTAAACTTCTGGACAAACGAAGCGAATGAGACATGCTCTTTTTCACACTGCTCCATGACCCAAGGTAGATACTTCCTAAGGAAGATCGTTTTCGGATCGTCATTCAGTTCTTCCTGCACACTCCAGTCGCTCCCCTCTGTTGACTGATGCCTACGTGTCGCCATCTCGGAGGAGGCAGACGAGGCGCTCATATCGATACTCTTGATAGTAGGTAACCTAGTTGTGAGGCTCAGACGTGCAGAAAAAAAAAAGAAAAAAAAATAGTTAGAGGAGTTCAAGCTCCATCGCTTACCCTGTGGATTGAGGGTGAGGAAGAAGGGAGCGCCTCCAGCATGTGCATACGGCAGAACGTATGAATCTTGGCTGGATCAATTGTCACGGTCACCTCCCCGATCGACGTGGCACAGAACGCATCCGTTGACCACGCTTACATCTAAAGGAGAACCGTTTGTTTGACAATGAGCTCCATTCCTCCGTCGCTGCAGCTTCATTGAATGGATCCAACAGTTTGATGGTACAACCTGATTCTGGAGGGCAGCAAACTGAGGGCTATCCGCCATGCGACCACATCCCCACTCAACGTTGACACAGACAAATCCGTTAACCACGTTATTACAAGCTAAAAGACGCCGATCTAACACGACAAGACTTCCATGTAGCGTAAGTTTGCAGGATCAATTACCTTTGCTCAATGTGAAGGCAAGGGATAGTCGGAAGACACAGGATTAAAAAGAGAGAGTAGGATGAATAAGGAGAGAGAGAGAGAAAGAGAGAGAGAAAGGACGAAGGACCTGCAGCAAAGGCGAAGAATGTCAGGGGCGTGGGAGTGGTGGCAACAACGAAAACAAAAGCGGGCGATGAATTCGATTCGATTAATTCGAATAGATGCGCTACTCTGTGGACTACAAACCCCATATCGTTGAGGATCCTTGTTAATAATAAAAAAAAAAGTGAATTGGCTCTACTTTGGTGGAAAGGACGGCTTTAATAGATCTTTGCTAGTTAGGTCTGATAGATTCGCAGGGTCAATCGACTCGAGACAAATTGTTATTGTCGCATATTTCACTGTATTTATTTAGTTTAATAAGTGTACCTCCACTCACTACTATATTTAATACAAATAAATACCCAACCGGTGTGGTGTGGAGTTACATCTCATTCTCACTCATATTCAATCCCAAAAATATCTTAGTTATAAAAAAAAGGAAATCCAGGAAGGTAGATGGACCGCGGATTACAGGGCGTTACAGCATTGCTTGGGGCGAAGAAAGTTGGACATGATGGATGGTTTATTCGGTTTAAAAACAACTCTATTAACATTGAACCTTGACTAAGTGGACGTGTATTGCGCAACAGGTCACGTAGGAGTTAGGTTAGACTAGCTATGCGACATGAGTTATGAAGCCAAGACGTCTCAAGCCAACGTAGTTGGTGTGCGGTAGCTAGATATTAACTTAAGCCACTGAGCAATAAGTAATTGCTCGGTCGCTGTAATTAAAGATCTCTCTTGTTCTCATTGATTCTGGACACAGTCATACCTTTCAAGGTTAGAAAGGACGAAATGGCGTTCAGGATCGCTGTCGAAACGGAGGAGGAACTCAAGAGGTTGCTGGACCTTACGGTGGAACTCGAAGACGAGGATGGCATGCCATACGAGGACAAGATGTTTATTCGCATGGACAACAAAAGACGAGAATCCGAGATGGAACGCGCCGTGGAGGTTTACAGTCTTGACCCTCGCACGTCAGACTTCCGAATCAAGTCCGCCATGTCCCGCTATGGTGAAATCGAAAATGTCGCCACTCGACCATGCAGCAAAGGAATCAAAATCACGGCACATGTAGTCTTCAGCAATGTGGAGGACGTGTCGTGAAGTTATGCTTATTCAGAGTTGAGATATTTGGGGTTCAGAATTAAGTGAGAAAGAGATGTGGCTCCACACACCACACCGATTAGGTATTTATTTGTATTAAATGTAATAGTGAGCTGGAGGTACACTTGTCAAATAAATATACAGTGAACTCTGGTGAAATATGCGACAAGAGTCAAGATGACCTTTTCTAAGCAAGACAGATACGGAAAATAGTGGCAAGTATTTAGGAAGGAGGTGTCAGAATAAGCGTAGGATTGTATTCAAGTTACTAGATGAGGAACAAACAGGTACAGGATCATGGAATACGTAGATAGAACCATAGCACTCATGGCATAGAACCTCAGTCTGCAATACAATCCTTACCTGCCTTGTCCGCCTGTCTGCCTTTCCCTTCGACTGCAACATCCCATTTTCCTAAGTCTGTTCCTGACAGGTATAATCCTCTGAGGTTCTGAAGCATTCGAATGTACGAACGCAAAGTCGTGAAGAAAAAAGAACTTTTTGCTGCGCACGGTATGACTATTATGAGGATCGTTCTGTGTAGAGAAGGCAGTCCGGTGCACTATATAAAGGGTAGCGGATTGCCATATTAAAGATCCCTCTCTTATTTCGTGTCTAATTGTCATTAGATAGTAAGTATAAACCTTAATTTATCGCACTTCTGCAATCAAGTGCTCCTGCGAGTCCGCCTCGCGTAGCCTGGAGGTCCCTCGACCAGGTAACGGTCATGGTCTTGTAACGGACGAGCGCGGAGGACCAAGAACAGTGCCTCCTCGATGTCGTCGTCTAGGCACACTGTTCTTCTTTTCCTTCTGCTAAGGACCAAGCGCTTCTTCCCCAAAGAATCTCATTGTAAGTGTTCTCTGCGTCTGGAGCCTATCAGTTTCTACTGTAGTCCCGCAACTTATCTCTAGTATTTGCTTCCAATTTATTTCTGTAGTCCTTTGTTATACGGATTGTAGTCCTCGTCGTCGCTCATTTATTCGCGACATACATTTACAGTAAGACAATTATTATTTAAAGACTTCGTTAACCAGTAGAGACCTTTATTGAGCAACGTATTTACAGCCAGCACTTTTACCTGATATAGAGCCACAACACCACAACAGTTACTTTAAAAACGTTTTTTCAATTTTATTCGTGTCCACGGGGCTGCCATTCCGGTTTGGAGGCAGAGATGGCTTCCGATATCGAATTTATCACAGTGAGCCGTGCTTCACGCAACAAGCGCAACAGGGGAGCAAACTGGTTCTCTCCAGCAAGCAAGAAGCCCGAGCCGAAGGAGATGTTCCGAGGCTCCAACAACCGAGCAGGCCAGCCGCTTGACTGCAAGCTCTGTGGAATGAACCCCACTCACGAGACTGCAGGTCATAAGCAGCGCTCCAAGTGCGGTCGACGAGGGCACTCTGATGATCATGCGATTGGCCATGGATGACAAGGATGCGACGAGGTTTACATCAATCAATGCCTTCATAAAAATACTCAGCATCCTCGTGGGTCTCAATCAACCCCACGATAGAATCAATACTGATTCTTCTGACCCAGGTCCACTCCGAAATAATAGAAATGGCTCGGCGAGACGGTTCACACCAAAGGGTCACTGCAACAGTAATCATATAGTATATATATCCGTGCACTGCAAATATTATTAAAAGTAGTTCTTGTTTCCACTCCTCGTCTTGTTACAGCCACAGATCCATGCAAAAGAGAACGCCGCAATCCCCGGCGCCTCCCGTTGCCACGGCTCGTCATCAGTCTTCCCAATCCATCACGCCTTCCGTACCAATGCCAGAAATGTGGTCCGAATTATTCGCACAACACTGACGGACATCCTGAATGCGGCCGTTGCCACTGACGCAGCCATAAAACGGAGTGCAAGGTGAAAGTATTCTCCAGCACCGATAGTAAGAATGAATCGTATAAAATAAATCAAATCAGTCCTCGTGTCAATGCTTTGAATCCGATGGAAACAACAACTGCAAAACAGCTGTCTGACCTTGTTGTTACTACCTTCACAGGCCATCAGTTCCACAAGTACCAGCAATCTCGTCGCAAGAACTGAACCCTAACAGAATCGGCGCCATGATGACCACTGTAAGACTTGGGGGTGAACGAGGAGCAACGAGGTGAAAACGAGGGGAGACGAGTGAACAAGACGAATGTGTGAAGACAATAGTTTATTGACTAGACTGTTGTGAGTATATGAACTGGGGTTCAACTACATAGTCTGTCCTTCCTTATATACATCAGACGAATAAAGGTCCTGATTAGTAATCCATGGTTCTAGACGTTTTGGTGCTGCCTTTGCTCATCTTTATATCATGGAGCTTTCTGTGATGAGGGCGACGTTGATCCTTTCTTAGACGCGTCTAGCGTCACATGACAATACCAATCAGAGCTGAACTCTGTCAACCATGATAACCATGAGATCCGTCATCCGGGCAATAAAATATTTGTCAACAAAACTGATACCATGGTAGCTGAAGACAGCATTGATACGAAAAATAAAAGAAAGGGCCGAAAAAACATGGTGAAACATTCAGGAACGGAAAAGGAGACAGAAAAGAAGGTTAAGCCTGCTGCACGATCACACGTCGCGCAATGGTTCTGACAGACTGCACGACCTGAAATCATATTCGACAAACAGCCGTATATCGCGATGAATCCCGCTTAAGAGCAGCTCATAGTCAATGACGGTGAACAGTCGTACCATATGAACCCTCCTTGGCTTGCAGTCAACTCGTACGTTGACGGTAGTTTCGCCTATATTAATCTGGAAGAATTATATCGACAGGAAAAAGAAGCCGAAAGAATGGAAAAAATCTGAGACGGGTTCCGTCTCTTCAGAAAACAGAAGATAATTTAGTTGAATTATCAAAATTGAATGCAAACAAAGATGATAGAAGAATATTTGTCTCTGTCACTTTCGAGGATGAGAAATATGATGCATTGCTTGACATAGGCGCAACCGACACCTGCATTCGGCAAGACATTGCCATCAAGTACAGTATAACGAACGAATCAATCCAGTTGAAGGTGTCATCATATTGACTGACGAAAGCCAAATGATCCTTCGGATTGGTCAAACGGAGGACATTGAGTTGCAATATGATACGCGAATCGTATCAGCACCAATGGAAGCCATCAGTCAGTCGTATCTGTTCATCATCTGGATGGATCTTTTTCATCAGTTCAGTTTTAGTATCACTAGTTTCGCTAACCCTGGCGATGATGCGATACAACTCTCTGAACCTGAAGAGGATACCAAATCTTCATTAATTCCTGATGAACAGCCTCCAGAGGGAAAGACGAAGGCATTCCAAACTGCAAAACATAAGTTTCTCGAACGAATTGCTGAGTATCTGAAGCAGAATGCTGAAATACCAAATATGAGCCTCTGTCCTGCACCAGAAATGAAGGTACATCTGCCTGTTCCCGAGGGTATTGTACTATTCAGAAGACCCAAACCATTTGCTGAAAAGCAAATGAGCATCTTCGAAGACACTATTTAAAAATGGCTACGCGATGGTGTTATCGCGCTTGCACCAGTTGGCATTGTACACAATAGCACGCTGACACTTGCTGCTAAAAAAGACGAGAATAGTAAGGAATTGCTGTGGTGAGTCTGTCTTAACCCCAGACCGCTGAGCCAGCATCTGCCGGATGACAATTATCCATTACCGTTAATTAATGACATTATTACTCACCTTGCTGAGCACACAATCTTTACTACAATTGATCTCTCAGGCATATCATCGTCCCCCAATTCATGAAGTGGATCAAACATTGACTGCATTTATGCACAATGGTAGGCAGTACCCGTTCAAAAAAGTGCCCTTTAAACTGAAGCCATTGTCCAGTCTCTTTCGGAGGGAGGTATCTCGAATCCTCGGTGGTCTTCCCTTCGTCTATAACTTCATTGATGGCATTGTGATATTCTCAAAGAACCGAGAAGAACATGCAGAGCAAGTGCAAACTGTAATTGAGCGACTCAATGAGGCCAAATTAATAATCAATTGCGAGAAATGCAGATTCTTCAGCACACAAATCTCGCTGTTGGGCTTCATCATTGGACTATTCAGCAAAAGTGTTGATCCAACTAAATTTGCAAATATCAATGAATGGGAGCCGCCAACAACAGCAAAACAGATTCAATTCGTTCTGAAAGTATATTCCTTTGCTCAGTGAAATCGCAGCACCGCTAGGTGCGCTTCGTAGTCGAACCGAATCATTCACTCTGAATCAGGAACAAATGCAATCATTTAATATTCTAAAAAGTATGTTGACGAATGCATCAATCTTGTCATTCCCTGACTTTAGTGAACCATTTTATGTTGCAACAGATGCTTCAGATGCTTCAGATGTTGGTATCAGTGCTGTGCTGTACCAGTTACCACGCGGAAAGGGGCATTAGAACGACATCAGTTCTGTTCCCTTCATGGTTCGCTCTTTGCAAGAAAGAGGACGTAAGTACAGCGCCACAAAGAAGGGATTACTTGCAATTGAATAAATTCCATTACTATTTGTGGAGAAGACATTTTGATTCATACACGGACCACCGTGCCTTAATGTTCCTGCATCTTCAGCAGAATCTTAATTCCAATGGCAAGATATCATATCGAATTATTCATTTACTGTCCACTATCGGCCGGAATTCTTAACATTCTTCCTGACGCTTTATCATGTCTATTCCCGATGAGGAGGAAGCAATCACTCCATACAGAAGAGCAGAAAAGAACTTTTGTGTACGTGCACATCCTTCAAAGTGAGGAAACAGAAAGAGCGGTAGTACTCGAAAAAGAAAAGGACGAAACTATGTATAAAGCGCATGCCATGGGTCACCTTGGTACAAATGCTATGGTGAATTCAATCCATCAGCAAGGGAAAAATTTCGTAAAGTGCTGCCGAGAATGCCAGAGGATGAACATTGCTCGTAAAGGGTATCATTCTATGAAGGCAATCTATGCACACTTACCTAGCGAGCGCATTGCGAATGACTTTGCAGGCCATTGAAGAGTCCGAAGACAAGAATATCTATTCGTTAATTATAGTCGATGTGTGTACTCGGTTTGTTCTGTTGGATGGCTTGCCTGATAAAGCCTCGTACACTGCCGCAAAGACCTTGTTCAAACGCTTTACTGATATCGGCTTCCCTCGCGTGTTACAGTCTGATAACGGAAAAGAGTTTGTCAATGAACTCACCCGCATCATGACCACGCAGGTGTATATAGATCATCGTCTGGTAACACCATACCACCCAAGTGGAAATGGAATTGTAGAAAATTATGTCAAAGCAACATGCAATATGATTCGCAAAGAAGTTCAAGGAAATCATCATCATTGGGATCGACATGTTCTCTTTGTACAATTGTCTGCAATTACGCGAACAGTTAGTCTGCACAATTCATCTCCATTCTAGTTATCTTTCGCGCGCAAAGCAAGTGGTTTTAATAACTACACCAACGAAGAAGGCAGAATCCTGAACGAAGAAGAACTGCTTGAGCGTCTAAAATATATAACCGAGATCGTGTTTTCGCCATCAGAAAGAAATCTACGGCGAAGCAGCAAAAAGTGCTCGAACTATTCAATGCAACAGTACTGCATAATGGATTCCCAGATGGATCAAAAGTAATGACCCTTGATCCAATTAAAGGAGGCAAGCTCACTCCACGATATGAAGTATCATATACATTGGTACGGCGCACTTCACATGGCTCATATATTCTTAAAGATGGTATAGGAACCTTGTTAGGGCGTCACTATGCTCTATCTCAGCTCAAGCTTGTGCTGAACGACATTGAAGATACCGATACCTATGAAGTAGAAAAAAAATTGTTGACCACAGGGCTAGTACAATTACGCCCAACACAAATGAATATTTGATCAAATGGAAGGGTTATTCCTCTGATGAAAATGCATGAGAACAACGCAACAGAAATCAAATAAGCGAGCATATGATGATACGGCAACAGGCACCCCTGCCTAGTCATACATGCGGCGCAAACGATCCCGAAGTATACGTTCATAGCTAATACCTTGCTGCATAAGAGACAACTAAATGCATTGAAATTAACGAGCGTGAAAAAAAAACAGCCTTTCGACAAGTCCCAGAGACGAAAGTGTATCTTTCTGTACCCGACGTCGCGTCGCTTTGCTCATGCTCAACGCCCAGAGGCAATGGAAAAATGTCTAAAAGGCAATATAATCACGTTGGCTCCGCCCAACAATCCGCATAACAGCATGCTGATCTTGGCTGCGAAGAAAAATCTTGCAGGGAATAAAACGCCTTGACATGTCTGGCTTGATCCGTAGCCGCTGGTTACGCATCTATCCGTCGATAATTTTCTGCAATCGTGAATGGAGCATAAAGCGAGGTTTGGCCAACCTGCAGCCCGCTGCCTTGAAGTCATGATGTTCCTCGACTGCCTTAGTACGATCACAGCCTGGCTCTCGGGTAGACGGTGTTAAAGCACTAGGTCTATGCTACAATGTGAATTTTGCCGGGTACATCAAGACGCTTTTGATTAAGAAGATTAGCAAACTGTTCATTGATTATTTTTATTTTTATTTTTTGGTAAAACTGGGGCCTGTATCCATACATGGTTCTATATGCATACACTTCCGTGTAGAAAGGAAAGAAGAGAGCGGAAAAGAGGAAAAGAGGAAGACTACCTGAACCTTGGTCGCTTCACTTGCTTGCCATTCATTCTGCTACAGGAAGTAAATAGCAGGTCCTTCTGAGGAAAAACATATCTTTTTTTATCCGACTTGTGGCAGTGGATTCAGCGGACTAGTGTACAGAGACAAGTTCAAGCGTGAACAGGACCACGACGACAGCGGCAGCAAGAGTAGCAAGAGCAACAGCAAGAGCAGTAACTCCAGTTGCAAGGGCAACAACGCGTACATCGAAGCTGAGCACGTCCACAGCATTGTCGCTCATACACCTTTCACGCATGCAGACCAATGGACCTATTCTCTCTCTAAAGAATGCATTCCCACGTGTATCCCGCTCATTGCACGAACGCCATACTGAAAGCTCCTCTTGCTCTTGAGGGCAGAGTGTATATCAGTCAAGGTCGATGTCTGAACAGAGCAAATGGACCGTGTACAACCTGGTAGAAAAGCACGGCCCTACCTCCACCTGAATGAAATCAAAAGGCCCTCTTCTGCACGTTCACAGTTGCGCCTCATACATGGTTGTGCATAAGGAAAATATGTTTGTTCGGAAACACCATCGTGTGCTTGGTTGAAATACACCGCACTATGAGGGTGTGGTAATTGTTGCGCAGGCCCGGGAAATGTGCCCTGTCGATTGGCGACTGTGGATCGGTCCTGCTTTGGTGGGGAGGACAACTGTGGTGGATCGTTGCTAGTTTGATAGATTCGCAGTCAAATGACTCGAAAGACAAGTTGTTATAAAAAAATAGAGTAAGAGATCCAGGCTGGTACCAGAGATCAATAGAAACAATTGGAGTGATATTTAATGTACGTCTGATCATTGTGGGCGGCATCCAAGTGTATAGTCTATTGCGGATTGTATCGTTTATTATAGAGTCATTAAACTACGTTACTGTGGCTCTCTCCATTACAGTCTATTCCCTTTTTTTTATTCTATGAGCTAACAAGGTGCGCTAAAAGGCAGCATCAGAGATAATATGAAAAGGATGTCAGTAGTCTAGGTAAGTCTTTTTTTTTTTTTTTTTTTTTTTTCATCGCCATGGTGTTGCACGATAAATGACAAGGAAATAAAGATGCGTAACTTACATCGAACAGGAAGTGCGACGTGATCCATATCGGCAACAGTGACCTCGTGCATTTTCTTCTGGAACTCGTATCTGATCTTTAGCTGCTTCTTCTCTCCCAGACATGGATCGTAGAATCCAAGAATATGATTCTAAACAATAAAAATAATAAAAAAAATAAAAAAAATAAAAAAATAAAGGAAATTATGGAGTCGCGTTAGGTATATATATCTTCCGAACCTTTCTTCCTTTTTTTTTGCCCGATGCTTACCTTGGAATGCCCGCCAGGCATGGTCAGCTGCGAATTGTTCACCAGTGTCTGCACTGCGACCGTCACATCCGCAACCAATCCCGCGTTCAAATTTCCGTAAACGGCTTCCACAATCAACAGGCCGTCCTTATCCTGCTCCTGTTTCGTCTTGCGTGCAGTCGACTCGCGGAGCAAACTGGTAGCTTCCTCAGCTTCCTTTTTTTCGTTCGCAATAAATTCCGCATGAATCCTACGCAACTCCTGCAACTTCTCCCGCCGCTCTCTTCTTCTCTTGGGCTTGATGTATCCCAGATCCAGTACTGCAAGCGCACAGACCGGAGCCACGGCCGCCCAAAACGCAAGTCTGGGGTTAAACTCGGACGACAGCAAGATCGGAACTGTCACACTCTGTCCTAAACGTGCCACCCTATACGCGACAATAATGCAGAAAGAAGAATGTCAGCTTCTTACACAACCACTCAGATCAGCAACAGCAAAAGTATCCCGAAAGCTAAAAAAAGAAAAAAATAAAAAATGAACATACTTCAGATTAAAGGCGATACCGCCAGAAAATGCGATCTCCACAGCGAGTCCCAACTTCGTGTACTGCGTCACCCTGCGATCCCCTCCTATGCTTGCACTCAAACCCGCCAGGTTCGACAGTCTTGCTCCAACTCGGATCCTCGTCACATCATCCAATTTCCACGTACGATCTGCCAATAGATGCGATTGCAACACACCCGCCTGGAATTCCATCTGGTAGCTATCCTTCGTATCGACGGAGGTTATTCCTAAGGCCATCGACGAAAAATCCTGACGATCCTCAGCAAGCGGTCCCCACGGTCCTAGAGCCCACTCGCCTGTGCGATAGGTTAGGTATCCTGTAGCACCTTTAGTGATCCTCCTTCCGAATGTCATGACCAGAGGAGTCGGGCCTTGGAAATTACGCGTGAATACTGTGCCGGAAACATAGGTTTGCTGGTCAATGTTGTATTGGCCCTTGATGACGCTGGCGCCGGGGCTCAACAACGATGAACCGAACTAAAGACAAAACGGCATGCGGATAAAAAAAAAGAAAAGTAAAAAAAAAAAATGAGTCTATTGTGTTAACAGTAAACGGAGACATTTTGTGAAGCGTCCTTTTCAAAATCTCGTACCTCCATGGACAGCTTATTAGAAAATGTATGTCGCACAGTGCCCATGATGCGACCGCTGCCTATCCCCGAGTGCGAGGACATGTTTCCTCCAATAACCACCTGTGTCCTTGGTCCGAATTGAGTCTACAGGCAAGACACGCAATATTCAAATTAGTGTTAGCAGGGCATTAGGGAGAGACTGGGGGGGAGGGTGTTTTTGATCAAGCCGGTGTTGCGATGATACCTCCGTACCTGGAACGAGTTCTTCATGTAGAGCTGCCCGACCTCGGTTCTTCCAAGGGAGTTCGTGATACTCTCAATACGACTCTTCTTGACTTTCACTCCATATGGCGTTAGTGTCTGGTAATGTTCAAAGACCCTGCTGGCGTCGATATTGACGATGATATCATTCCTGGATCGGACCAGATTCTCCAGCTCCATCTGCTGCTTCTCCCTCGCAAGACGTTCATACTCGTCCTGGAGCTAGAAATGTATCGAGAAAAGCCACTGGATCGTCAGGATTATATGATCTGTTAAAGTCGCTCGCGAGTTGATCTCGAAATATGCGGCCAAAAAAAAAAAAAAAAAAAAAACCACATTCGGAACATTACCTCCTGCTGGGTCTTCACCCTGTGTCCGACTTCCCATTTGCTGCTCAGTCCTTCCTCGCCGTACTGGTCATAGATCGCTCTCGACTGCTGATTGCTCAATACTATCCATCAATATAAAGCCGCCCCAGGATCAATATTTATGAAAAGCCATCAAGTCACAAAAACGACATTCCTGCCCGATCAATACCTTCGAAAGCCCTGGTCAGGACCTGAAATTTGGTCTCTGCAGCATCCTTCAGAATCGCATCCGTGTGCTTGTCAGGATGAAATACTCGGCTCATCCGTTTATACGCCTCCTTGATCTCCTCTTCGGATGCCTATAGTATCACATAGAGAAGCAACTGCATGAGCTTATGTAGTGTAATTGGATTATCCTCTCTGAATTTGCCATGGGCTACAAAGTCCTGACGACCGCGCCAAGGACATACCGTTTTTGAGACATTCAAGACAGCGTAGAAGTCTTTTTGTGCGAGGTTGAAGGAATCGAGGTCATCGTGAAAGTCATCAGATTCTTCCTTTGCTCTGTTGCCACTGCCAGCCGATGGCTCTTTGGGCATGGATCTGTCCTGGTATGGGTCCTCCATGAATGTGATTGGAAAGCTGATTCCTTTACGTTTCTTGTTATCGATTCCGGGGAACAGTGGAAGCAAAAGGATGTCACCCGTTCTCTATGAAAAACCTAAAAGCGCCGTCCAAAAATGGAAAACTGAGGAGCGGCGATCAACCCCTGTCAATTATTGACACGTCCCTTATGCGTTGAGTGATGCCATTTGTTGCACAGCCATTTGTCCCAAACACGTTCAAAGTTGGCCAGAGAGGAATTACAAGCAAAGGGAGGAGAGTACTAAAGATATGGTCCTTTTTATTACGCAAAAGAAAGAGCCCAAGGGCTGAATAGCAAATAAAAGGATGTGGATATAGACATCTGTAGGCACTATGGTCAGGGAACAATTACCGCGACTACTTAGTAGACCCACGATAGGAGGGAGCAGACCATAGGAACAAACAATGTCTGGTTATAGGCCCAACCATAGCGGCCTAGTTCTTGTAAGAGTGCTGTGGCGAGTAAGGCGGTTGGGCCTCTACCTGCGGCAGGGCGACTTGTTGCGGCAGGCCCTGAGCGGGCGCCAGTGTCACCGCGGTTCCGTAGGCCATAACTTCTGTCATATCCTACATCGTCGTATTTAAACAGATGCTCATGATCAGATAAGTGAATGTCGACTTTCCATACAATAAGAAAGCAAGCAAACGTTGTGGATCAAGGATCGCCATCGCTTACATCGGCAACTTCTTGACCGGTGAACTGGACTCCAATGACAGCTAAATGATACCGGAGGAGCAAATCGAGATTGTTCAATGAATATCTCCTGGAAAGATCAGCAACTAGAACTTCTGAGCGACTGTCGTCTTGGTTACCATTTCCTCCGACTGCTGCAGCGTGCTCGAGCAAGCGAATGAACGCAGTCTCGCGAGCCTTTTCGGCCATCTCAATGTATGTAGTGCTCTCACCTCCTCCCAAGGATGCAAAGGCACCAAAGATGGCTTTTCCAACCTGATTAAATCGAGAACAAAGGGCAAAATCACATTAGCCTAAAGTAAATTTCATAGCGACATGAAGCTAATTGGATTTGCTCCTTACGTTTGGCGTACGCACGGTTAGACTAAGTTGGTGAAAGAAACATCATGATAATATTTAGCGACCCATTAATTATATATATATATTACTTCGGAGCACACTGACAAACGTTGATAACAAGACCCGTAATGTAATTACCCTCGAACAACACCAAGGTTCTGGGTGATGGTGTATCCGGGAATAGTGAATCTATGTTTTTAAAAAATAGACAGGTCAATTTTTTTTGTCACTGGTATGTCTAGAGATGTTTAGAGACAGCGGCTTGAGAACGCTGCCATACGCTGTGGTGCTGAAGCGACGATCGACGGCACGCGTGGGCTGGTTACGATGGGACATTTGTGGCAGATTGCTATAGGGAAGAAGAAGATATCGGAATGTGCTGATGGTGGCAGAGGAAAACCCGCTGTCGTGTTGCTTTTTATAAGTGGTGAGCTCTCCTAGATTTGAAGTGCTCGATATGCTTTTTTCCGCGGCAACCATAGTTTTCTCGGTACCTATCGCCCGCCGCTTTAGTGGTCATAGTTGCTACAAAAAAACTGCTGCCAAGAATTTTTGGCGTATATGCTCTAGGACTCGAAGAACCAGCAAGGGTCCTTCTAGAAGTCAATGGCGGGCTACGCAACATAGCAGGGAATTGGATCACGAGGAGCGAGCGAAGTGAATGGACTGGTAGGCTGTAGCAAACTGTAGTGAGGCGTGGGCTGAAATGGCCGTAACAATTTACTGTGGTCAGTCTTTAGAAGGCGAGGCTAGCATCCAACAGCCCACTCTTATTTCATTAAAGGTAACCCCCGATTGTAGGGACGGGTCTAAGAAGATCGAAGGTCCTACAGCCCATAGAGAGGACGCGTAACATTAGTGACACGCAGCAATCAAGTCACTCATATCTTTTTGCACTTCTCCTGCCAAAGCGGCGCTCGAAAGTAGATCAACTGACGGGGTATCGGGCACAGCCACGCAGAAAAAACAGCCCTCGTTATTTTCGAATGGGCCTCGGAGAGTAGGGCATGATGGCCGGAATGTCCATTATCATGCAAGAGTACAGCCATACCGCGTTTAAGTTCGATGCCGCATGCCGTAGCAGAGTTGAGGTCCTGAATTTACGCCCCGATCGAGTTTCTGTAGATGCTTAGCCACACAGCAAACGAGGGGCACGTTTTTGGTTGCATGGTAATTTATTTGATGCTTCGACTATGCTACAAGTTTATGATTGAAAAACGCTGGATGAAAACGAAAAAAGCGCAAAGGGAATATGAACAGAAGGTTGAGCGGATTTTTTCTTTAAACATCACCAAAGTAGCCCTGCTGGTCCAATAACAAGATGATGCGGCGGACAATCTGGGCAACACTCTCGGTGGAGGGATCGACGATCAACTCGGCATTCTTGGGGACCTCATAGGGGTCATCAATACCGGTGAATCCAGTGATCTCTCCCTTCTGGGCGCGCTCATAAACACCATCACGGTCCCAGGCAATGCACTGTTCCAAGGGGGTGGCGACGTGGACAAGGAAGAAACCGCCAGACTTCTCGACCTCCTGGCGTGCCTGCTGACGGGCCTCCTCGTAGGGAGCAATGGGGGCAACAATGACACCGGCACCGGCCTTGGTCAACTCGGCAGCGACAAATCCGAGGCGGTTGATGTTGATATCACGTTCACGCTTGCTGAAGCCGAGCTCAGACGACAGCTTACCACGAATGGTCTCACCGAGCAACAAGGAGATCGAGCGACCACCCTGCTGGTTCAGCGAGACCTGGAGAGCGCGGGCAATGTGTTCCTTCTTGGAGGCGTGGTAGCCGGTCAAGAAGACAGCGAAGCCCTGCTTGGAGCGAGGAGGGTGAGACTGGCGCAGCAGAGCAACGACCTCGGGGTAAGAGAACCACTCAGGGATGTGAGCACCAGTGCGAAGGCGACGGCGAAGTTCAGTTCCAGAGATATCCAATGTCTTTGCGCCAGCAGGAACCTCGTCCGAGGGGACGTACTCGTCAGAGTCGGGCAGGTAGGTGACCTGCTGGAAGGGAACGACTTCAATATGGAGTTCATCCTTGTACTTCTCGACGAGGTACTGGGCATCATAGGGTCCGTAAAAGTCCTTGCCTGCAGAGTTCTTTCCGGGACCAGCATGGTCGCGTCCAATGATGAAGTGAGAGCATCCGTGGTTCTTACGGATGATGGCATGCCAGAGGGCCTCACGAGGACCAGCCATACGCATGGCCAAGGGCAGGAGGGAGAGAGCAGCCATGCCGGTGGGGTAGCGGCGAATGATAGCCTCGTAGACACGGACACGGGTGAAGTGGTCGATATCACCGGGCTTGGTCAGACCGACGACAGGGTTGATCAAGACGTTGGCCTGACGAGAGCGAGCAGCACGGACGGTCAGCTCACGATGGGCACGGTGCATGGGGTTGCGGGTCTGGAAAGCAACGACACGAGTCCAGTTGAGCTTTTGGAAGTAGGCGCGGATCTCGGCAGGGGTATCTGTTAAGCGATAGGATAATCGAGGGTTAGAAATCAATTTTTTAACTCTGGCATCTTACCGTATCCCTGAATCTTCCTCGATCGCTGTACTCGGACACTTACTTCTGTAGGCAACATAGTCGTAGTGTACAGGTGCCTGGATGGCCTGGAGGGTACCTCCGACATAGAACTCCTTGACGGACTGGTGGAGATACTTGACAGCGGGGTGAGCAATATCATCAGCACCAAAGACCAAGTTCGCCTCCTTGACCTTGTCAGGTCTGTAGATATCCTGAATCGTCAAAATAGCAATGGGTGAGTCGTTGCGAGGATCACGGAGGGTAACACGCTGGTTGGGCTTCAATGAAAGTCGGTCAATGTCCTCCTGCGAAGCGTCCAGGTTGATGGGGATGGACCAGAGGGTGCCATCTGCCAAGCGAAGGTTTTCGACAACGCTATATGGAAAGCGATAGTGGATCGATAATGTTTAGCACAACTCGGCCGGTTGCTCGTTGAGCATCAGTTGAGTCAAATGTAAATGTGAGATCTTGCAGACAGTACCTGATGTAGTCCTTCTCGCTGAGGAAGGACTCGAGGGGCGAGAAACCTCCGGAGATGATGAGCTCGAGATCGCAGAGCTGACGATCCGTGAGGACGATGGACTCGAGGGTCGAGGACTCCTTGAGGAGCTGCTCGTGAATGGGCTGATCGCGGACGACGAGGTCCTTGAGAATTCCACCGTGAGGGGCGTTAGACATGTTGGATGCGATAGGAGATTATGAGATGTAAAAAAGAAATGAGTGGGGAAGTGTCGATCGATTTAACGTCGAGTGTGAAGTAGAGTGTGAAGGGAAAGAGTAGAAGGGTGCACCGACTGATCAAGGATGTGAAGCGTGGTGAAGAGAGAGAAGAAGAGAGAAGAGGACGGCGCCTTTTGGGGGTCCGGGCAGGGTCCTTATATAGGGCGGGGAGGAGGATGAGTACTTGTGGTTGATCCGATCAGACAGATACCAAGCAGCTCTCACTCGGCATTTTTGGTTGTTCTTCCGGCATAGGAGGATGGCATCATTTTCCATTTGGCTGCGACGAGGAACAGTAAAAAAGCGACATGTCCGGATTATCATCAACTTAAAAACGCACCCTAACCCTCTTCAGCTGCTCCAGCGAATGAGGAGCGAGGATGGCCCGCCTCTTGGCTGCTGAGTAAGGCAAAGTCGTACAGCCGCATCCAGTTGCCAACGCAAAATGGCGCGAGCGAATGTGCTGTGACTACCAATCACACCATTTCTCCCCAATTCACGCAAGCAGCCCTCAGAGGGGCAGCAGGGCAAAGCAACAAGAAATCAAGATGGGAACCAACGGTCACTTCGCCAATAGCACTCTGCTGCTGCCATTATCACTTTGTACTACAGCGAATAAAAAAAAGCGTTCAAAGTAGTCTTACTATCATTAATATGCTATCTCCTCTGTCTCGCTTTGTGCAGCCCACGTTGCAAATCTCATCACATATCTGATCCTTCTCTTTCCAGTCGCCTTTTCCTCGGTAAATGACATATTTTCAACAACAACAACAACTAGAAGAGCAAGAAGAACAAGAGCGCGAACGGACCATTCTTTCCTCCCCCTTCCTTTTCCTTCCCCTTCCTTTTCCTTCTTTATCATGCGCCGGCAAGCTCTGCAGCCTACAACCCGTGAGCCCTCCAACCCCCCCTCCCCCCCACCCTCTCGTTCCTTCTTTCCTACAACGCAACTTTTCTAGACAACCCTAACCTTCCATCTACCTCATTCCTTATTTGTCATTTGCAGCTGCTCCTTTACAGCGAACACTCCATTCCTCAGCACCTGTTTCCACCCTTGGCATCTCACACGCCTCTATCGCACCTTACAACGCCCATCTCTCACCATTTGTTGCCGCATTCTACCTCAAACGCTACTCACCATCGCGCATCCACTTTTCTACGCCGTTTTTTATTAAGGTCTTTCTCCTTTGCTGTGTAACTTGGACGCGTGTGGAAAAGAGTTCGCACAAGATGGTGTTAAGCAATCGAGAAATTATTGCGTGCTCGAACCCTTCATCTCTGTACCAATTGCTACTCAAATGCCCCAATACACATGGTTCCCTTGTCAATGAACACTATCCCTCTGTACCTTTTTTTTTTTTTTCCTTCTTCCTCTCTTCCTCTTCTTTCTTTTCTTCCTCCCCCCCTACTCTTTCTATTCTTTATAAACCATTTACTCTGACTCCCATCACGCCTCTAGTAGTACTGCCTAGATCTACATTCGTTCTCTCACAACATGTATGTGCCACATAGGTGTGTGTTCGTTGCATGTGTAGGTGGTAAGCACGCAAGGACGTATCGCTATTATCGTTATCATCATGTTTCTTATCGATAATATCACGACGCTTGCGATGATGATTGTAGTGTATATCTTTATACTCCTAGGATGACACTTGTACCTCTGGAGAACATGATTCTGCTGAGCTTTGGGCAGGTTTAGATGGGTGCTGGGACATCTAAAGGGTATGGATGCCAAGGTACTCTGTCAGAATGGTGTATAGACCAAGAAATTGATCGCAAGCAGCAGCAGCACGTAGATTCAAGGAATTCGTGATCGCCTTGATATAGTAACAGGGTCATCGCATCAGGATGCCGTCATGGCACACGAGATACAAAGAGGGATATAGCTGGAATCAAGGCGTGCTGATGGCACTTTACAGAGGCGAACACATGCGCGAGGACTGGACAGGAATGTGGCCTGACAACGGCAGAGGAGCATTGACCACCACTTTAAGTAAAATAAAGTTTCGAATTCTTACGCATATATCACGTAACTCGCATGTGGTCGTCAAGCAGACACGTTCATATGCATTTAAAGGGTCCTTTGCCCCTGTCCTTTGAAACTTTTCCTTTTCGCATTCGTTCATATAACTCCCGCTCAACCTGCCCCTGAATACCTCCCCTCTCCCTCTATATTCGTAACCGCCCACTTTCACCCTAGCACACATACACAACCGTCCATCGCCCTCGCTCTCATCCTCTCCACATGCAACCATCAAGCACCACAGCCATGGCGATCACCGAAAAGTTTTCCAGCCCACCCACAAGTGGGTCAGCACTGTTACAGTTCTTTGCAGCTGCCTTTCGTTCTGTATGCTACACTGTCTTTCCCTTCGCTTCCTTCATGTTCTGTCTCCAGGCCGCGCCTCTTACCTGCTAGTATTTCTTAACACGATGGTTATCACCCCATACAGGAAGACATCGACTCCAGCTCGGATGAAGACGAGGATCAGAACGTCGTCTCCAAAAAGACAGGTAATGCATTTTGTGTGCTGTGTCCATCAACCGTGTTTGTTTACGCGAAGAGCGAATGCAGCGTCCTGTGCATGGCTCACAAGGAACTCACTGTCTTTTCTGTCTTGATCTGGTTTCCAGACAAGGACAAGACGCCTCAACCAGCAAAGGACCTTGTCATCAGAACCGACAATCTCACGAACAGCGGCAACGATAGTGAGGACAGCCCCACCAGTCCCGAACGCCCCAGCGACCCATCCCCCATCACCAAGCCCCATCTCAAGAACGACCTCTCCACTACCCCTACCGACACGCGAGGTGCCTCGAGCGGGTTCTCGTTGGGGACTGTCCATGACAAGGAAGCGGTCGCCGGAAAGCTGCAGGCGGCTTTTGGATATTCGAAAGATGAAGAACTCGTGGGAGGTGAAGTGATGGACTATTTTTTTTCGCATGCCGTCACTATTCGTGTATCTATTATTAGTCAGCCATCGCGATGGTGATGATGGTGCACCTCCCGGTTAAACAATTCAGGCACTCATGGTTTCGGGCTGTTTTGTGTACAAATTGCATAGAGTTCTCATGCTGGATGGCACGCTCGGTTCTGCTGCCTGGATACATGTACCTGACGACCAACCACGTCTGTTTCTATGCCAATCTACCGAGTAGCCATGTGTGAATCCCATGTCATGATCAACACAGATGTCGAAGGGCGGTGTTATCTCCCCATGGAGATTCATCTAACTTTTGCTATGTTCCTTGGTTTGTTAGGATGTTGTACAAAAGGAAGGGTTCTTTTCCAAAAAGTCCAAGAACACAAAGTCATTCAGTCGCTTCTGGTTCATTCTGAAGAACGATGTCCTGAGTTATTATGCAGACCAAACGGTAAGAGGAGAGCTTGCCATGGGACAAGCAGAGCATCTTAAGTGCGGAAGGCGGTACTTACTTATTAACAAGAAGCTTCGCTTGTACGAATGGACTGTCCTTAGGAAATCTATTATCCGATCAAGACAATTGACTTGAGAGATGCCCTGTCTGCGGAGCCATCTCCCAAGAACGAGCTGACGTTTTATGTCTACATGCGGTCGCGATCACGCAGATACAAGTTCAAGACGGATTCCGAGGTTGCGCGCGCAGACTGGGTCAAGGCGATTCAAAAGTCGATTTTTCACGCGAAAATGAACGACGATAGTGTCAAAGTAATACAGCGTGTTCAGGTCTTTTACGCAAGTAATAGCTTTTTTTTTTTTTTTTTTTTTTTCGCTAACAGTTGTTTTGCCGTATTAGATATCCATACCCTTAGCGAACTTGGTGGACCTTGAGATGAACTCGACTTCGTTCGTAGATACTATCAGGCTGTCAATCAAGGACAGCGATGATGTGGAAGACGAGGTAAAGTTGAGCAGAGGACAGGAACCAGCCCGCGTTATTCAAAGTAAAAAGTCATCCTGTTAACCTTGAGCTTGGTTCTCTAGTTCTATTTCGCCTACTTTGGCGATACCCAAAAGACACTTGCAGCACTCGAAACACAGCTGGATCTATACCGAGAGAGTAGCAAAGGGCACCCGGTCGAGAATCTCAGATTCCTCAACAGCACTTCACCAACAGGCGACTCACCTCGGAAGTCTCTTGCAGCAGAAAATCCACAGGGACCGCTCGCATCATCCCTCTCAGGAACTCAGCCAGAAACATCTCAATCAGCATCCGCAGTGTCGTGGTTGAATCCACTGAAATATCTCCATCCATCGGGCACCGTCAGTACTACGAGCAAAAGAAGCCCTTCGCCCACTCCTCATGTCTCCACAAATGGTGAAGACGAAAGCGAGACAACCGCCAAAAGCCCCTCATTCTCGATTCGTGGAACCGCTACCTGGATCGCGGAACACACACCAGGGCTGTCGAGCAGCAACGGCGACGTTGAATTGGAAGACGATAAACAGAAGACGTTCAGGAAAGACTTCTCGTTGCCCGAGGGAGAAGCATTGGCTGAGACCTTTTCTGGGTACCTACTACGAGTACTTCCGCTCTACGGCAGGATCTATCTGTCCAACAACTATACTTGCTTCGAGTCGACGATCAAGGGAACTAGCACCAGGGTGATCGTGCCGCTGATAGATGTAGAGCAGGTGGACAGGCATCGTGGCACTCGATTCTATTTTCATGGAATGTCCCTGCTCACGAAAACAGGGGAGGAGATCTTTTTCGAGTTTTCGAATGCAGAGACCCGGAGTACGGTTCTGAAGGCCGTTCGCGACCGTATTACCCCAAAGGCACAGGAGAGACGAAGGCAGTACCAGGCACAGGCTATCAAGGAAACACCCTCGCTCGAGCTGGACGATCCAATGGAGTCGCGTGTCATGGACTCGTTACAGCTACGTGGGGAACTTGTCCAGGGAGAACCCATGTCCCTGGTATTGCATCCAGGGTTTAAGCCCTCGCGTCCATTGCACATTACCTGCCTCACTATTGGTAGCCGGGGAGATGTTCAGCCTTATATCGCCTTGTGTAAGAGACTGATGGAAGACGGTCATAAGTGTCGTATTGCTACGCATGGCGAATACAAGGAATGGGTCGAAGGCCATGGCATCGAGTTTGGCCACGTTGGGGTAAGAGACATATTTTATTATGAAGACAAGCGGGGGGGTGGGGATTCTCTATCTGTGATTTCACCATGATAACTGATGCTGATACACGTTCATTGTAAATGTAGGGTGACCCTAGTCAGTTGATCGAGCTATGCGTAGAGAATGGGATGTTCACTGTGTCGTTTATAAGGGAGGCACTGACGAAGTTCCGGGGATGGCTCGACGACTTGATGAGCACTGCATGGGAAGCGTGCCAGGGCACCGATGTCTTGATCGAGTCACCTTCAGCCATGGCCGGTATTCACATCGCTGAGGCGCTCGAAATCCCCTACTTCAGAGCGTTTCCCTTCCCATGGACCCGAACGCGGGCGTTCCCACATCCGTTTGCGGTTCCCGAGCGCAGCCTTGGCCGCGGCTACAATTACATGACCTATACGATGATCGAGCAGGTGTTTTGGAAAGGTATCGCGAGCCAGGTCAATAAGTGGCGCAGGAGGAAGCTGGGAATCGCTCCCACGTCCCTTGAAAGGATGGAGGCGCATCGGGTCCCGTCGTTGTATTCCTGGAGCCCTAGTCTGGTTCCGGCACCGATGGATTGGCACTCATGGGTTCATGTGACGGGATACTGGTTCTTAGATAATCCGGATCATGGCTGGACGCCACCGGAGGGGCTGGAGGAGTTTTTGGAAGCCGACCCGGACAATAAGCCTGTTTACATTGGGTTCGGATCAATGGTCGTTTCTGACCCGGAGAGTATGACCAAGACTATCATCGATGCTGTTGTCAAGTCAGGAGTTCGGGCCATTATTTCGAAGGGCTGGTCTGACAAGCTGTCGACGCAGGAAGATGGCACTGTGGCCGTGGTGCAGAATTCCCATGGAGATGAGAAAGTATATCCAGACAGCGTGTACATGCTGAAATCGGTCCCTCACGACTGGCTGTTCCATCGGCTGGCGGGTGTGGTCCATCACGGTGGTGCTGGAACAACGGCTGCGGGTCTGCGAGCTGGAATCCCGACGGTCATCAAACCTTATTTTGGAGATCAGTTCTTTTGGGCGCAGCGGTTGGAGGACGCAGGTGTGGGTGTGTGGTGCCATGATCTAACGGTCAAGAAGCTGACGGCAGCTCTGGAGACCATCACGAAGAATGAGAAGATGATCAGGAAGGCCCAAACGCTAGGTGAACGGATCCGTGCGGAGGATGGTGTCGGGAAGGCGATCCAGTACTTTTATCATGATCTGGTAATTGCGAAGCAGAACGTGGAGAGGCGGATGAACGAGAAAGAGGCTGCTGCCGCCACCGTGGGTGGAGAGAGCGCGCAATGGCTTCCTGGCTTGTCGAGCTCAAAGGCGACTACGACGAAAACCACAAAGTCTGAAGACGTCCACAAGACCTATGAACATGAATGCGAGCGTGGTGGTCTTTCTGCAGGATTGGAGGATAAAGCTCGCGTGGTATCCGCGCCAGATCTCCAACAGGCAATCGGGGAGGACGACCATATTCGCCAGTCGGCAACTGTGGATGCTGAGCCAAAGAGAGCCAGTCTCCAACCGTCTGCGACGGAACCAGGTCCGGATCGCGCCTCAGAGATGATCAAGAACAGCGACAAAAGTGCTGAGGGTCTGGCCGCGGAATTG